CAGTCATGCATTGTCTTTGGCCTTGAGGTACTGACAGTTCTTAGTCCAGAGAAGACTGTAGCAGTAAAAACAAGGCAGAAAAGGCAAGGAGAGATGGCATTAAGGTGCAGAAGGTAAAGACTCCTTGGCCTTGGAAGAAGGGTGTCCAGGAAAGTTCAGATGCCTGAAGGGTTGGCCTGGGGAAAATCAGTGATGCTGGCTGGGATGGAGCTTTGAAAGTTGTGAGGAAATAGGAATTAGCAGGAGGAACTTCATGAGGGAGGGCCTGCCTTGGACAGGTGGGACATGGGGATGTCATGAGAGGAGCTCTCTGAGATGAACATGTCAGCCACCCTGTTGGTGACAGCAGAGTACTGGGCTTGTCTGGGCACACTCAGCAAGAGACAGCAGGAGCTGTACATGGAGTGGTGGTCCTGTAATGAGAGTGGACAAAGGGAGTGTAGAAAAAGTCTGGGCTGCCATGGCAGGTCTCAGGAAAAGCCGGGATCCAGGAAGACTTCATGGGAGGGCCCAGAAAAGTAACTTCCTAGAGCAGGATTAGTATGAAGGGCAAGGTCATTGGATTTGGAGATTGGCACTGACTCTGCTGGCTTTGTGCTCCACAGAGGGGACACACAGGCCCATGTCCTCCACTCCAAATGATCATTAGCAAATCCTGACCAGGGATATAGAGAGTATAGAGCTCACTGCCCTAAGGAGCCAGAGGCATGATGGGAGTAAGCCTGTGGTGGCTCTGCAAGCAGCAGGTGAAGTGCAGCTCCTGGCCTGTTGGAACTGCTTTGCAACACCCCCACCTCAAGGTCATTAAAATTTCTGGGAATCCTGGACTCCTGCAGAGTGGGTATGGCCAAGCCCAAGGGTGACACGGAAGCATTGAACCACCTCCTCCAAGTGTCAGGAACTAGGTCAACACAAACATGACCACTGGGTTCCCTGGGCTACAGGTCATAGGCTTCATAGGTTTGGATTTGGATAAGATTTAGAAACAATGAGAACAGACCCTTTTTGCACTGGTTGTGGTGTGCAATCCTTAATTCCAACCAGAGAAGCTGACATGACAGCTGATACCCTTTGGAGTTACTGGCTGCCTGCATATAAAGAACAATTGGAGGGGAAATGCAAAGGAGAGTTTGAGTACTTGAGATATGTGTCCTTGGAATAGCAAAGGAGCTTGGGTACCGACTCTGACCGGGCAAACCAGCCAGCCCCTCAACCTGTTTTCCTTATTTGTTAAATGAGGTAATAGCTGCCAGTCCACATGCTGTGGGTTAAACAGTGTAATATATATAGAAAGTCTTCTGTGAACCACGCTGTTAGCCACTGTTGATGTGACTTACCAGGAAGTGTTTTCCTAAGCACCTGCTGGCTACCAGGCTCCATGCCAGAACCCGAAGTGGGCCACAAGCAACCCCTGACCTTAAGGGACACATAGCCAGCAGGGGAGACCCTGTGCTGTGAAGAAACACCTGGTGTGTGTTGTGGGGTAGTGTTCTTCATCAGCTCTTTTTTTTTTTTTTTTGAACACCCATCAAGGTCTAGTCAAGTCAGAGAACATTCCAGAAGGAACAGCAGAAGTGTCAACTGCCTTTTTTTTTTCTGTTTCAAAGGTCTCTCTCTCTCTCTCTCTCTCTCTCTCTCTCTCTCTCTCTCTGTTTCTCTAGCTGACAGCCACCTTAGGGTTGGGCCAGGGGAAGAGGAGAGTCCCTTGGAGTGACTTCTGGAGAAAAGAAATGGGTGGGGGAAGTGGGATATGTCCCCCCCCCTGTTTTGGATTCAGGAATTGGAGAGCATATATCACTGTGCTATGTTAGACCCCCGGAAATCTCAGGCCTCCGGGGTCCCAGCCCAGGACCGCTGTCACCCCAATCACCAGGTGGATTCGTAAGCTTGCTGCAAACTGCATGAGGCTTTATTGTTGTTTAATGAGCTAATCCCATGTTAGCTCGGGTCTTTCACCCATCCGCCATGGCGAATGGCTAGCAAAGACAGCCCAAAGGGGCTGCAGAGAGATCTTGTAGGGCAGCGTAAGGGGAGTGTCTAAGGGTATGCACAGGCTCAGGATTGGTGTGCCTCCAGGCTTGGAGGGCTTGCCCTGTGTTGATTGGTCAACTGGTTGTTATGGCCCATAGGCCCTCCCAGGGTGGTTGCTATGCTCTGTTCGTCATTGCTGTGCACTTGTCCGTAAAGCACACCCAGAGCCGTAAAGCATAGCGTCACCAGCTAACTTCTGATTGGTTCCTTGCCACGAGGCAGGCACCTAACCTCTAGTGACCAAGGCAAGGTCAGAAAAGCATGTGTTATGCTGTTATGGCTGCCAAAATGGGGAGCTGGTCCCTTCACTCTGTGAATGCAGTAGGGTTCCACTCTAGGTTGTGTTGGCATTTCAAGGGGAAGCCTGAGCTTAGTTCAGGTGGGAGAACAGTAAGCAGGGGTTTCCTGTCTACTTACATCTCTGCCTCTGTTAGAGGGGATCTCGGGAGTGAGGGACACATGTGAGCTGCAGTCCTATGGGGTTAGGTCTGTGCCGGGTGGGGAGATTGAGCTGTTTCCTGTGTTCCCTAAGGACCGGGATGATGATGGAGGGGGAATCTAGAGCAGTCCAACAGAGTACCTCGGAAGCAGGGCCCACAGGCTCTGCATCTCGTAGCTCATCTTGAGATTTTTATATCGGGGTTGGGGGTATAGCTTGGTTCTTGCCTGGTGTGCACAAAGCCCTGGGCTCAAACTCCAGTATTTCGTAAACTGCTCATGGTGTCTGTCACATGCCTATAATCCCAGCATTGGGGAAAGAGAGGCAGGAGAATCAGACGTTCAGGAACTTCCTTGGTTACTCGGCAATTTGGACATGAGACTGTCTGGAGTGGGGATGGAGGAGTGAGGAGGGGGGAAGGAGAGGCTTATTTGTTCCATCTGCCTGGGGCCTGAGAAATTTGCTCTTCTAACAAGCCCCAGGTGATGGTGATGTTACTGGTCTGTGGCCCACACTTCGAGAAGACCACCTCTTTCACCTCTGTGGTGAACACTAGCCGCCCTGTGTATGCTGGTCACATCCTGTGACCTCAGTTCTGCCCCAGAGCTTTGGCTGCTAGCTGGCTCAGCCACCAGTGAGGCTAGCAAAAGCATCATTGCAGCATTCTGCTTGTGACTGGAAGGTAAATACCCAGACCAGGCCTCTGGTGCCTGAGGAGTGCCAGCAGATTGAGCTGACAGGGTTGGCAGCCATCCAGACTGGTCCATCCTTCCCTCTCACTCCACAGCTTCCTGCTTGCACGTCCTCTGCTCAGGTTTTGCTCCTAGAGAAATTGGCACAGACATGCTCTCTTGCAACCATTTGACCCCCTAAACAGAGGTAGGGGGTTGTTGACAGTGTCTCAAGAGGTCCAAGGACCAGGCTTAGAAAGTAACAGGTCCCAGGGTGCTCAGGAACATGGAATGTTGTGTCACGAGGCAGCCCACATGTTCTGCATCCTTCTTCCTTCCCATTGGATCGGCCTGTGTCACGGACTCATCTCACCTCTGAGGGCGATAAAGAACTTACACCAGTGGGAGTGCAGCACAGGATCCCAACAAGATGATACCCCACCCCCAAGTGGGAATTGCCGTTAGGTAGAAGTCAGGGGAGGGATGCTGAGTCCCCTCTCCCACTACAGCCTTGTTCACTACAGCCTTGTGCAACACCTGTTACAGAAGTCCCAGTGTGAGATTGAAGGACTGTTAATGAGTTGAGCATGTAGCTCTGTTGTCTAGTGCTTGCCTGGTACAGACATCCCCTGCACTGTGTAAAGCATTTGTAAACCATAGGCCTTAATATCTACCTTGGGAGACTGAAGCTGGAGTCCAAAGTTCAAGGCCAGTTTGGGAGGTCATCACGGACTAGGCTTGGCTGAGAAGTAACTGGCTCCATAAGAAACAGTTCCCTCTTGTTGGGCTTGGCTCATGCCTCGGTAGCTCCCATACCTCCTTTACCCATCCCCCAAAGGATGTGGGCTGCAGCCTTTTGTTGAAACTGGGTGTGGGTGTGTGGGTGTCTTCCCAGCTCCTTAGCTCCGAAGGCATTGTCCCACTTTCAGAATCATTTCACTTTCAATTGATCTCATTCTCTAGGCAACTTCCTCTTTTCCCTTGGACAGGTTGCATATAACTACTTGTATATACTATCAAAGAAGTAGCCCGAGGCAAGAATGGGATGTAAATCACCCTTTTATCAAGTGGCCATTTTGGCTTTCTCTTCTGCAGGCTGGGCTGGACTGAGTTGAGGGTCAGGTTAAGACTGCTGACAAAAGCCCATTGTCTCATCCTCAGATCTGCAAGTCTTCCTGAAGGGAAGGGTGGGCCTCGAGGTGGGGTGGATACTCTCTCCTTTAGAGGAAAGAGCAGGAGTTGAACTGTAGAAGAACTTAGAAGCTGAGACAATAGCCCAGCTTCTTTCTCCATGGACTGTCTTTTTACTTTTGAGACAGTCTCATGTAGCCCAGGCTGGTGGTAATTTCGTTGTTTCTGACCATGGACTTGTGATCTTCCTGTCTTCACTGAGTTCTGGGATTATAGGCACACGCCACTGTTTCTGTTTGTTTGTTTTGTTTTAATGCAAGTGTTGGGGATTGAACCCAGGGCTTTGTGTATGCTAGGCACACACTGTACCAGCTGACCTCTGCATCCCTAGCCCCTCTTTCCCAACTTCATGAACTCAGCCCTCCCTGGAAACAGAGCAGAACCAAGACAGGGACACTTGGCAGAGGGCTTTGTTGAACTTCAGTTTTAGAGATGAAGACTCAGAGGCTAGAGTTTACAGGGAGAAGTTAGGAGGATGCTGCTTCTGGAGAGGCAGGCAGGACCAGGTTATTGAGTGGATGGGTTGTTACTTCAGATGACGTCTTACCTCCTGGCATGAGTCTGGACGGCCATGAAGCTCTTAGCCAGCACTGCAGTTCCAAAGTCAGTGTCCCCTTTCCTGGAGATTTGGAACAGGTCTTGATACCAACGACTTTTTTCTCTGACAGGTGTGCGCCTTGACCGAGTGCGTGGAGGCCGCCAGAAGTACAAGCGACGGCTGGACTCGGAGAACAGCCCCTACCTGAGCTTACAGATTTCCCCACCTGCTAAAAAACCAAGTGTGTACCAGGCAGCACTCCCCCTAACCCCCACCTTTCTCAGCCTGGAAGACCTGGCATCCTCCTGGGGCCATTCTGGTCTTCCTTCCACTGGGTGGTGGGTGGTGGGCAGTGTGGATCTAAAGACGGCCAACAGTGGTATTGCCTGCTTCATCAGAAGGCCCATCAGTCTATATGGAGTGGCACAGAACCCAGACCCTCCTAGAACTGTGTCAGAGGCCTTTGAGCAGCTCCCCATTGCAGGGGACATCTCAGTGCTCGCATCACTGCTGCCAGCAGCTTCGAGATGTCGGGACAGACACCAGCCACATTTGACCCCCAGGGCCTCTCCCTGACCCTTCCCCTCTTCCCCAGGCATTTACTGTGTGTTCTCTCTTTGGTCATTGCAGTGACTAAGATCGTCTCCTATCTACTGGTGGCTGAACCAGACAAGTTGTATGCCATGCCTCCCCCTGGTATGCCGGAGGGGGATATCAAGGCCCTGACCACTCTCTGTGACTTGGCAGATCGGGAACTTGTGGTCATCATTGGCTGGGCCAAACACATCCCTGGTGAGTCATGGTGGGCTGGGGGCAAGAGCGGGAAGGGGCTCTAGGCTCACCCTGTCCCATAGCTTTGCCTTTGATACTTGGTGCCCCGCCCATTGAAGCCTAGAAGACCTTTGCTACCCTTGTAAGGCTCTTTTTCTCTCTTCTATGGGATTGAGGGGAGTAAGTAGTATTTGGAAGGTTCTGTAATGCCTATGAACTGCCAGGGGCTCATCAGAACCACTTTTCATTTTATCAGGACCTGTAATAGGGGTAGACACTTGATAATGTTTGAACAAGTCCCTGGAACCCACAAGACAAAACAGTGGGCTTCCCCTGAAGAGTTCACTAGAATTATAGTGAAAAGGAGCTGCCTTCTTTCACACTAGCTGCAGGCAGAGAGAAGGAATTAGGAGCCGGAGCCTTGGGAATTGGGTCAGGTTCAGATTCTAGGCCCAGAAGCTATGTGACCTGAGCCTGTCACTTAACCCGTGAAATGGGACAGATGGCTTTATCTTTCTGTTTGTAGATTGTTTTTTGTTTGTCTGTTTGTTTTTGGTCAGCTGTGACCCTAAGAGATGAGCATGCTACACATGGCAACATAGCAGAGGTGTGCTAGCCTGTGAGTGCCCCCACGTGATCAAGCTGATTCAGTTCCTGTGTGTGTGTGAGATTCACATGTGCCCCACAGCAGGCACCAAACATGGGTGGGAGATGTGGTCCCCCACACTAACCTTTGGCAGGCCTAGAGGATTCTGAAGTGGTTCCTTGGCACTCTGAGCCTTGGGTGGGTTTGCCGGGCACCTGGCTAGTACGTCCTTCGTAAGGAGCTCAATCTCCTGGGATTACACACTCAGTAGTTTTTAAATCTGCCCTGTGCTGCCTCAGCACAGGTGTGGCGTCAGACCCATGCTTAAGACACCTCAGCCTGGATTGCTCCACTGACCCCAAGCCAAATTGGGCACAGCCACCCCAGCTCAGCCCTCAAACTACTATTCCGGGTCAGTTAGGTTTAGTGTCAGAAGGATGGCTCAGGAGTGGCGCCTGGCGGTCTCCTGGATCAGGACATCTTCCTTCTGTTGGCCTTAGCCCCATAACACCTGGAGGAAAGGAAGGTCCAGGAGATTCAGCCACATCTGTGCCAAGAGGGACAGGCAAGCAGGGTGGTTATTGGGGACGTAGGCTTTGGAGCCCCACCACCAGGGCTCCTGACCCAGGTATGCCTTTATTGGCCTTGTGTAAGGTTTCTCTGAGCTTCAGTGTTCCCATCTGTAAAATGGGAATCCCAGAAGCTCCCACTAGGACCCCCAGGAGGATGTCACTCAAAACTGCCACAGCTGCCATGGTTGTCACAGTTACCAGTAGTGATTCAAGCCTTTTTGCATTTCATCTCCATAGAATAATTCCTGTGGATTATAAACAGTGAGTGTGATGGCTCACACATGTGATCCACTGGAAACAGAGGCAGTGGGCTTGCCATCAGTTTAAGGCCAGTCTGTTGTGCATAGCAAATTCTAGGTCAACAAGGATACCCAGCAGAAGAGACCCCGACTCAAGAAACTAGAACCATAAATAAGAAGTGAAGTAAGCAAGGGCTTGCTTGTCTTATATTGAGTTGCTTATTTTGCATAAATTTGCATGTTGAATCATCCCTTAATTAATAAAGGGTCCCCTGCCACTGTTTGTAAACCTCACCCTAAGGGCAAGGACAGACCAAGTGTCTGGTTTTTTTTGTTTGTGTTTTTAAATGTGTCTAAGTAGGTGTTTTACCTGCATGTAGGCCTGTGCACCATGTGCATACAGTGCCCCAGGAAGCCAGAAGAGGGCGTCAGATCCCCTGGAACTGGAGTTACAAATGATAGTTGATCTTCCATGTGGGTACTGGGCATCTACCCTGAACCATCTCTCCAGGAGCAGCAAGTGATTGCTGAACCATCTCTCTAGCACTGTGTCTGATATTTTTAAACTATTGACTTAATCCTGCTTCTGATGGAAAACTCATTAGAAGCCAGGCTTACCCAGAAAGCACTTGAAGATAGAGACCATGTTGAGTCTTGCTGATTCTGATTGGGGGCATGTGGAAGGGAGGATTTCTGACTACCCAGGACCAGAGCTCTGCAGCAGTCTTGAGACAGGGGATTGCCTTACAGTGTCTTCAGCCTGTGGTCTACAACCAGGCACACAGAGGGTACTAGTGCTTGCAGGGTGAGCACTGGACAGAGGGTCTCCCAATATGTGTCTGAGATAGACTTAAGGGGTGCCTGTCCATTAACCAGAGATGATCTAAGACTTCACCCCACGAAGCCTTAATCTTCCAGTAGGTTCCTATGTCTGAAACCCATATATATATATTTTTTCATAATCTCCCTGCACTAGAGTTTGTCTGTCTGTGTCTCATGTCCTGGTGCTGCCTCTGTATCTGGTGTCATTAATGAGTAAAATGAGGACCACCTGAGCATATCTGCTGATAACTCGGCCTCACGACTGAGGTGGCTTCATGTGACAAATGGGTGGGCAGCATATACGGCATGGATACACCAGCAAACATCCTGACTCGTGTAGATCAGAGTAGAGCAGGGTGGCCCAGATCACAAATCAACTTAAAATAGTTAATTTCTGGAATTTCCTACTTCCTATTTTCATACCAGTTGACCTTGGATAACTAAAACCTGAGAAGAGGAACGATTGTTGTTTTCTTATTTTGGAGACAAGGTGCTCCTATGCTACCCTTCTGCCTCCACCTCTCCAGTGCAGGGTTATTGCTTGGGTCACTCTGAGGATGCACTACTGGAAATGCAGTTTTGGCTTGAGTTGCATTTCCCAAGTTTTGGGCTTCCTGGAGGGCAAGCCATTATCATGAGATTAGCGACAGCAACTACCTCTCACTCCCCATGATCCAGAGATTAGAGCACCCTTTGCCCTGGCTACTGCTAGTACTTCAATGAGTTGCTGTCTCCCTGCCTTATTGGCCACTTGTCTGCCTTCCCCAGGCAGCTGGGACTCCGCCCTGGGCAGGAGAGCCTTCAGGGGAGTCTTCACTAGTGCCCAGCCCAGGCTGCTGTGTGCAGGGGATCCCCAGAGACCTCTTCAGGAAGGCTCTTTGGACAGACTGCTCCCAGGGAACTGCCGTCTGGCTGGATGAAGGATGAGCTGCCGAGTGACAGCAGCTGTGTCTGAAGTGGCCCCGGATCCTATAATTACATCTCCCTTTATTACCTCTCTAATGGCTCTCCAGGTCGGCAGAGACTATCATAAATTAGCAGATTATGAACTCCACTTGCCACAAATTACGTGCTTTTTTTTTTTTTTTCAAATTCTAGGAGCGAATAGTGTCGTGGGGGATGGGGCCAGCTGTTATTAGATCCACTGATGCAGATAACAGTTTTGCTGGAGCTTGTAGAGCATACGGAGGGACACTTGTGAGCCAGGGGTCCTGGGTTGGGCAGTGCTCTCAGGATGAGCTGCAGGGAGGGCTGGTCAGCCTTGGTGCCGCTGGAGCCTTGATGGCCCAAATCCCAGATGAATTGATGGGGGCCTGTGCACCATGTGCACCAAAGCCCAGTTGGAAGTACAAGTGCATGTGTTCAAGAGTTGGGGGGGTGAAGGGGGTGTTTTCCCAAGGTGGAGAGGGGTATACAGGCTTCGTGGGTTTTAAATGACAAAGATACTTCCAAATACCAGAAGAGAATGTGAAAACCTCCAAGGCTCCCATGTGAGAGCCTTCTGGGAACTCCCTGTGTGTGTACAGCCAGCCACCATGTATTCCCTCCCCACATGGGCTCACATTTTAACACTGTATTACCCTCCTGTGTGTTTCATGTAACAATGTTAAGTATTTTTGCACTTCCCATGTGCTAAGCAGACCAAGAAATGTTCTGTGTGTGTGCGCGCATTTAACCTCAGCACTCCTGACATGGGGTCCTCGGTCCCATTTTAACAGAGGAGTGGAGGTAGACAGGGTCTGAGGTGGTCTTGCCTAGGGTCACCTGTAGTGATCAACAGAGTGGCTGTTGTGACCAGTTGGGTCTGGAGTCTGGTCTTCCAGCATGTGTTTGCACATCCTCACAAATAGTTCTCCCTCACACTTTTTGGTTTGTTAATTAACGGTTGTGTTTATATAAAAACTACATGTATCACAAATTGCATTTCCCTAGTTTTCTGCCTGGCACACTTTCTGAATGTGTTCTAACAAGGCCTATTCTCACCACCACCTCTGTCCTCTCCTGCAGACATGTCTCTCCTGTTTTCGCTTCTAGTGTTTTTCTCAAGTATTGTAGAAAGCATTAAAATGGTTTCAAATAGCGACAGCAAACACTGCAGGTGGGCTGGGGTTTTCAGAATTCTGTCCAGGACTTCCCAGCTGTTGGAGAGAAGGCATTCCCCAGAGGGTGAGCCTGCTGCTCAACTACACACCAGCTAGCTGGCTCAGCAGTTGAAAGCAAGCCTTCTGAGTGCTCTCTCCCACTGTAGCAAAGAATTTTCCAAGTGGCTGTCTCCCCTGACTCCCCAACCCTCGGAGCAGGCCAGCCTCTTTCATGACCCTTACATGGGATATAAACTCTAAGCAAGTGTTCTAGGTTGTTTTCCTGCCATCCCAGGGTTAGGCCATGGCATCTGTTTGTTTGTCCTCTGTTGTGACTACTTATCAGGCTGGGTGGGCAGGAAGGCAAGTGGCACTGTGTCTGGTGTCTACACTTTCTGCGCTTTTTTGGAGCTTAGAGTTCAGGAGTATGTCTGTATCCCCAGTGAGTGACCCTTTTGGAACACAGCCTCCAGGTCACTTGTGCAGGGTCTCCCTGGGCTGTCCTTTAGCAACACTACCATTGAATGTTCTCAGAACCTTCTAGTCATTGAAGCTCTTTGTTGTTTCTCTGTAGCCCTGGCTGGCCTCAAACTCAGAGCTCCACCTGCCTCTGCCTCCCAAGCGGTGGTGTATGCCACCAGGTTGGTTGGTGACAGTTAAGAGACCTGTGACATCTCAGCCGTATGCCTTGGAGACTAGAAGTTATGGTTTGAGTAAACCATAGGTCTCCATGGGGCACTGAGAGGGACAGAAGCCTGCTTGTGATAATCTTTCAGAGATTTGCCTGAGGGATGAGTCTTAGCAGCCTGTTTTTGTTCCCAGAGCCTGGCTGTGCCTCATACCCACCCTTTGTACTGCCTTCCAGTTCATTTGTGGGGTTAATTCACCCCTCCCCAGTCTTTCTGCTCTCAGACTACCCCTGCCTGTGCAGTCTGCTTCCTCCTCACCTGTACCCTCCTATGCTTGCTGATTGGTATCTGCTAATTAATGTCACCAAAGCCTCTCTCCTACTCATGGACCTGATAAGGGAAATTGGATGTCCATTTCTATCTATCTTTTATTACCTTCGGCTTCCTGAGCCCCCACAGGCCACCACATACCCTCTTGTGGTACTGGGAATGTGGACAGCAACTGACACACAACTTAAGCCCTGTGTCCCATCAGGTCCCCCCAGGAGGCAGTCACCAAAGTTCCCCCTCTGTGATTGGTCACCCATAGAGTCTGGCAGCTAGGTGGTGATCCAAGGCACGGGTTGTATGGACAAGTTCAGGGTTCATAATGGTAGGATACAAAATAAAGGCAAGGTAATTGGCCTTCCATTTCAGGGGTACCTCAAGAGGTCCTGGGTGGGAAACAGGAAAAATGTCATACAGGTCCTAAGAGATGGGCTATTTAGGAACTGGGCAAGTCCAAAGGGAAGGAAGTAATGATGACCTGGATGGTGGCTTGCTGTGTGTCACAAGTTGTGTGGGGTCTTCATACATGCCCTTTCAGCATCATGACACCGCAAATCACAGTGAGTAGGCAGGGCTCCCTCTTAAGTTAACAGATTCTTTCATTAGCAGAATTACCCAGAAACAAATTCCTTAATTTCAGTTGCACTTGGCACATTGTGTGAGTGGTTCTGTGGGTTATGTGCCCGGCCCCGAGCACTGGGATCTGAGAACACATGCTAGGCAGCTGCTCCACAACTGCACTATATTCCCAGCCCGGTTTTGTTCATACAAAGTCTCATGTAGCCAAGGCTGGCTTTGAACTCCAGATCCTCCTTCCAGGTACTGGCATTCTCCCCGTTTCTGGATGAGCCCCCCCCCCCCTGAGGAGTTGCTGCCTCCTATTTAGTGGTTATGATGTTTGAAATTAGCAAATTTTGCTCTTCTCTGTTGCCTTCTCATAAATCAGGCTGTTAATTGACTTTGCCTAAGTCAAGTCCACACACAGTGCAATCCCAGCATGTCACCCTCATCTGGCAGACACAGATTTCGCCTCAACATCAATAGGAGCTCATGTGTTCTGGAACCATCCCCTGGTTCAGCTCACAGCCACTCTGAGGCATCCTTTGCTCTCGTGCCCATTTCCTGGACCTCAAGGTTGGAGAGGTCAAGGTTACAGAAGTCACATGGCCACCTCAAGGTTAGCCCACAGCTAGTAGTACATGGGCAGTCAGAGTCGAGCCCAGGTAATCTCCCATAGCACATTGGACAGGGCAGTGTCATGATTCTGGAACCCTTGTAACCTTCATTTCTCCTCACTGGAGGGAGCGGGTAGCATCCACCATAAATGATAGCTTTCCACAGCATGTTTGCTGAGTCTTAAGGGAGAGTGACAGTCTAGGCAGCTAGTCTGGACACATGGGCTGACAGGCTGTCTATGGAGTGGTCCCTGCCATTGGTCACAGGAACTTCTGCCCAGGCCACAGACCACCGAATCCTCCTTCCTGGGTGGAAACTACATTAGGATCTGGTATAGTTTTAAATCAGAGAGCCTCCCTGGAGTGAGCAGAGTGTTAGAGACCCCATCTTGCCACCCCCAAATCCTGCTATTAATTCAGCAGCTCCTTTAGTTCCAAATGCATCTAATTAATCAGCATGCCTCCCCAGATACTGGGAAAGGCCTAAAACTAACAAGCATAGTGATAATAACTGTCAACATTGACCCAGCTCTTATTATGTAAGTCTTTCCCATGAATTCTGGTATGACTTGGTTACCACAGGGGTGACAGCAACACCACATGGTTCCCCCACCCCCAACCAGGGTCTGGAGGTGCAAGGACACAGCCACCCCCCCACCCCCCAGGTCAGCGCTCTAGTAAGCCCCAGGGAAGGCCCTGGGCCCACTTCTGATCATTGTCCTCTTTTGCTTTTGCAGGCTTCTTAAATCTGTCGCTTGGGGACCAGATGAGCCTGCTGCAGAGTGCCTGGATGGAGATCCTCATCCTGGGCATTGTGTACCGCTCACTGCCCTATGATGATAAGCTGGTGTATGCGGAGGACTACATCATGGATGAGGAGCACTCTCGCCTGGCAGGGCTGCTGGAGCTTTACCGAGCCATCCTGCAGCTGGTACGAAGGTACAAGAGGCTCAAGGTAGAGAAGGAGGAAATTGTGACGCTTAAGGCCCTGGCTCTAGCCAACTCAGGTAAGGGTGGCACATGACCCTCAAAAGCCTTCAAGGGGTTTGTGGGAGCCTAGCAAGCACAGCTCGGGCTGTGGGCGGGGCTGGCTGTGATGGGTATGGGGTAAGAGACAGACACTGCTGTCACCAGCGAACACTGCCCGCTAGTTCCTTTTCTCTTCCTGTGATCAAAAGCAACTTACAGAAGAAAGGGTTTATTTTTGGCTTCGGGTTCCAGAGGGATAGAGTCCATCACTGGAGTGGGGCGAGGAGGCTTGGTGTGGCAGCAGGAAGCAGACAGATGGCATTTCATACACACACACAGGGAGTAGGGAGAGTGAACAGGAAGTGGAATGAGGCTGTAAACCTCAAAGCTGGTCCTCCAACAAGGCTCCACTTCCTGAAGGTTCTGTCACTTCGCCAATACACCACCAGCTGAGGACAGAGTGTTCAAATGCATGAGCCTGTGGGAACATTTCTCACTTAAACCACCACACACTGCAAGGGCGGCCTGGAGTTGAAAGGACAGTCATGGAGGCCAGTGCTGGTTTTGTATTTCCTAGGCCTTTTACTTGCAGACACCGAAGGATGTAGATTCTGAAAGTATTGCTAAGGGCTGTGTCTGCATCCACCACTGAGCAAGTTGCTTCACTCTGAGCCCAGTCTACCGTAAAGCACTTACTCCACAATGTGTTTATATATAATTTGAGGTGGCATCTTGTTCCACCAATAGACTTGAGGTAATGGCCTTAGGGTGTGGTTTTGGTGTGTGGACATGATCCCTTAGAAGGAAGAGGAGGGGCTTCAAGTCAGACAGACGCCATGTAGCCAATGGTGAGTTAGGACGTCCATTCTCCAGTAAGACAAGGCTATGTGGAGATACACAGATTAATAATAATGGGTTAATAATTAAAGCGAACTAGCCAATAAGATGCCTAAGCCACTGGCTAAACAAGTGTAATTGATATTAAGTCTCAGAGTGGTTATTTCTTAGGCACCTGTGGGACCAAAATAGATGGAGAAAAACTCCTTTCTACTATAATTATGTAGTAAGGGCTCAAAGTAGTAAGGGCTCAGCTTGCTAATTTGGCTATGACATTATGACCATAGCTCTTACTATAATCCCATTTTATAGACGTGGAAATTGACGCTGGGAAAGTTGGAAATTTGTCCAGAGTCACACTGTTTAAAGACACCAGGGTTTGTCCAGGTGTGGTGGTATAGGCCTTTAATCCTAGCACTAAGAAGACTGAGCAGGAGGATCTCTAAAGTTTAAAACCAGCCTGGTCTACATAGTGAGTTCCAGGGTAGCCAGGACTACATAGTGAGACCCTGTCTTAAAATAAATTTTTTAAATTTATTTATTTATTACATATACACTGTTCTGCCTACATGCCAGATCTCGTTATAGATGACTGTGAGCCACCATGTGGTTGCTGGGAATTGAACTCAGGACTTATGGAAGAGCAGTCAGTGCTCATAATCTCTGAGCCATCTCTCCAGCCCTTAAAATACATTTTAAAAAAAATTAGAAAAGAAATGTCACAGTTAGGATCCAAATCAAGGCCATCTAATTCTCAGATAACCCAGGCTTATGCTACCCTCCCATCAAGTCATTTGGGTGTAATACAGCTGACTGCCATGTGGATGACTTAGCCTAGTATTAAAGTCTTGAGATTATTCCATTTCCTAAACTTCACCTAGATTATCTGGGGTGAGGCATTGGACAGTGGGTGGATCCATCCACACCCAGCGCCTCTGTCCTACTGGAGGTAGCCTGCTGGGTGCTAGGGAGGGGAGAAATACAGGGTCTAGATGAGAGTGGTGCTGGAAACATGTACATATAATCATAAGCCCATCGCAGGGCAGTTTGTTGCAGAGTTCCTTGCACACACACACACACACACACACACACACACACACACACACACACTTACACTCCCAGACACTTTAACAGTGCTGGCACACACACTCTCCCTGACACTGACAGCATGACCTTGGTTGGCTCTGTCCTTGAGTAGGAGGCATTCTGGGTACTTCCTTCAAGCACCTGTGAGTATTAGAGATCAGTTGAGGATAATGCAGCCCAGTGCCTGGCCTTGAGGGAAGCTCGGCAAATATTGACGGTTGTCATTGCTATTATAATGTCAGAGGAAATAGTGCTCCCAGCGCATGGATGAGGGACAGCTGACTCCCAGGTGGAGACAAAAACACATGCCAGGCTTTCCCAGGAAGTTTCATATCCTAGGAACTCCTCCAGTGACTGACAAACTGTGACCATTGGTCACTCTGTGGCTTTAAAGCACACACAGGGACACTTGATGACTCAGCCCCATGCTACTCTATAGCACTCCCATCCTCAGACACATGGGTTTTGTTGCTGTTAGGTCCCCAGATTTACCCTCTGGTGCCTTTGGCGTCATCATCAATTCCCAGCTGGGCATTGTTAGCCAATGGGGGCTTCACATTGCCCAGCAGTCTGCCTAAGAACTCTGTGTGGTTTCAGGCCTTGGGGTTGTGTTGTCCTTGTTTCTGTGCCTCCTGCCTTCTCACTTCCTCCTGGGAAAACACCCTCCCCGTAAATCATTCAATCCAAACCCTGCCTTAGGTGGGCTCTGCTCCTCAGAAACCTGACCTAATACAGGTTGTTTATTTTGTTTTATTTTATTTGGTTTTGTTTGGTGTATCTCTATAAACAGACAATGCATGGAATTCCATGTGTCGTCCCTGCTCCTCTTCATCCCTCAGCATACCCTGTGTGAGGCAGTTTGCTGTAATTAGCAAGCCAATAGTGATTGGCATCTCTCTGGTTTTTGAGACTTTCACTCTGTAGCCCAGGCTAGCCTGGGACTGACTGTATATTCCGGGCTGGCTTTAGACTCGTGGCAATTCTCCTGCCTCAGCCTTCCAACTATTGGGATTATGGGTGTATACCATCCTCCCCTGGCGGTGGCCCTTGCTTGCCCCAGACTCCTGGTTTCTCCTGGCAGCAGTACAAGGGCCCCTGTAGCTAAGTGAATGGGGTGACTCAGGTACCTGGCACTGAAGAGCAGAACTCATCAGAGGCTGACCTGGCCCCTTGAGAGTGTGCCAGCTGTCACTCACCCGCATCCCAGCCATCTCTAGGGCTCTTTGACAGGAGAAAAAAAAAATTCATAGCCATTGATTTTGTAATTAACAGTTTATCAATGCCATCGATACAGACTTGCTGATGGATTGCAAAGAAATTGATCCTGCAATGTTATTTTATTTCATTTTTGGTTGAAAGCACCTGCCAATTGTGACTCCTTGGGGAGGGTGACAAGATGGGAAATGGAGTCAGGGGTGGCTGGGGTCCAACCCTGCAGGGACTCTGGAGAGTACATACTGGAAGGAGACCCAGGGGAGACCAGAGCATCCTAGGGACCAGACAGCTGGTTTAGCTGCCTCAGCAGTCTGGTGTCAGGCCATCCAGCATGCTCTGGACATGACTGCTCTTTTGAGGAATCCACAAGGTTGGCTCAGCTCCCAGTGTCCACACAGCAAGCTTTGGGGCTGCAGGTCATGGGGGCCCCACACAAGATGTTAACAGAAAGTGGCTGGGCAGCTCCCCACCCCCACAGGACAGGTTCTAGGGGATTCCCTTTGTTCTGCTCAGACCCAACTTCAGCCCACTGTTTCCGAAGGTGAGTTCATGGGCTACATTTTAAGCCAGTGCTTTTGTTGTTTGCAGTGCTGCGGACCAGACCCAAGGCCTTGTGCGTGTTGGGCAGACACCCATCACTGGGCTCTGTTCCCACTGGCTCCCTGAGTCACCATGCCCCTTGTACTCCCCCTCACCCCCAAGCTAGACATTGATTTCTGCCCCTTCATGTCCTTTCTGCAGCCAGAGTGGTAAAGTTGGCTGTGGTGCAGATGGGTGGTACTCCTGGCTTAGTAGACATGGAGACATGATGGTTCCAGGAGTGGTAGTGGTGAGTCAGGCTCCTGTGACACAGGCATTTGACTTTTCTGTATCCTTAGTCTGTATAGCCCTCTCAACCCTATAAGGTAGGCATGGCTAGGAAGATGAGAGACAGAGAAGTTAAGTAACTCACCCAAAGTCTTATACAGCCTGCAAGTGAGGTTCTAGTTCTAGTTCGGCCAGCCAAGTTCCAGGTTCCCCTCAATACTGGGGGTCTGAGCCCAGTGCCACCACCAGTCGCTGACTCCGGTCAGCCCTACAATGAAGATGGTTGTTCTTCAGCAGTCAGCCATTGAAAGTAGACATGCTGCCTGCTGGTCTGTCTTCACTCCAGACATGCCTTCCACCCGGGGGCCGCCAACCGGTGCTGGCACTGACTCTCTCCTGTGTCTGCAGATGCCATGTACTTTGAGGACCTAGAGGCTGTGCAGAAGCTGCAGGACCTGCTGCACGAGGCGCTGCAGGACTACGAGCTGAGCCAGCGCCACGAGGAGCCACGGAGGACGGGCAAGCTGCTGCTGACACTGCCCCTGCTGCGGCAGACAGCGGCCAAAGCGGTGCAGCATTTCTATAGTGTGAAACTGCAGGGCAAGGTGCCCATGCACAAACTCTTCCTGGAGATGCTGGAAGCCAAGGTGTGATGGCCCAGCACAAAGATGGACGGACATGATCCATGTGGAGACCTCCACAGCCACCAGCCTCGACTTTCCACACCTGCAGCGGGGCTCTGAGCTGTCCCAGAGGAGGAGCTTCCCTGCTTCCTGGCCATGTGCAGACTCCTGGGGGCAGCAGATGGGGAGATGGGGATGGGAGGGCGGGGGCGGGGGGCTCATCTGTCACCCGCATTTTCTTTGGTATTTTTTCCTTCTCCATGGGCAGTGCTAAGGCTTGGGCCAGGGCTGACTCCCCTTAGGGCTGGAGACCACCAGAGGAAGCACCCCTGCCTGCAACCAAGAGGCAGTGCATCTGGACCCCTCCCCATTCAGGACTTCATGTACCTGGACGGGCAGAGCTTAGTGTCCAGGACCTAAAAGACACAGACTGGGTTCTCCTGGAGGTGTTGGTGTCAGAGAGAGCAGGCCCTTGGGGTAGCAGTGTCTCCAAAGGCCCTGCGTTCTTAGAGCTCTGTGACTGCACCTCCTCAGTCCAGCTGGCTGCCTCCACTTTTTTCTTTCCTCTTGTCCTACTATACCCAAGTCCAGTTTTTGCTCCTGTCAGCCTACTAGTAGCCACACACCCCAAGAAGCCCCTCCCTGCTTCCTGCCCCTACCTCAGCCAGCCAAGGTAACTAACTTCAGGGCATGTTCCTGGCTCAGAAAAGAATTGGGTCCTGTACCCACTGTTCCTGTGGCCTCTTCCTCCCCCTTTTGGGCCTGGCCAGTCTAGAGACCTGTGGAAAGTTGAAGATCTGGTCTCATCAGAGGGCGCTTGGGGACCCTTACTCAAGGTCAGCAACCTTGGTTGGGGTGTAGGATAGGGAGAGCCCCCCCCCCCACCAGGAGATGGGAGGTGTCATGGCACCTTGGAAAGAAAAGAGCTCTAAAGGTCCCTCTTGGCTCCTCCCTTACCTCATAAAAGGCAATGCTTTGTACCACAGGAGGGCAGCCTCTTGACATTTGCACTGGGGTTGTTGGATGTAGCCTTCCTGGGTCAACACCTGGCAAGACCTGGCAGTCTGGTTGTTGTCTAGGGTGGTCCACAAGCCCATCCCACTCTTCCTGAAAGGCTCCATCTTAAACCCCTCAGGCCTGGGCACATGGACAGTCTTCCTCCCGATTTACCCACTCAAGGGGCAGTTCTGAGCTCTCACTGGTGTTTTTGGGTTGACGGGATGTCCTGGAGGTAAAGATGTTCATTCTGGAAAATGGACATGCCAACCCGCTTGGGCCACTTTTCTGGGGATATCCCAGGCCACATCTGTTCTGACCCCTTCCTGGAATGCAGGGGTAGGGGAACCTGTAGCCAGCCTTAAGGGAAGAGGCAAAGCTCCTTGAACGTCAGGGCATAAAGGAAGGTTTTGAAGCCCCTCTAGATAAGCTTCTTGGTCAGGGTATTTATGCTGACCCACACAGGGGTCCCCTCTTTGAGGCTTTCTGGTACCTGTGACTGCTACTGGCCCTGCCTCCCTGGTGACATCTCTCAGAGCTGCAGGAACTCCAGATTAGAGGCTTCCCATAGTTAATGCTATTTTTTTTTTTTAGCATTAACTAAACACCTCCCTCTTCCTGTTCTTTGCCCTGAAGGAATTACATCTCAGAGCCACTGGATGGGTGGATGTCAAGGCATCCGCACCTCTGCCTGAGCTCTCCTTGTCCCTGATCCAAGGTAGATGTCACTTTTGTATTGAACTGGGTTGACCCTTAGGGGCTTGGCTTAGAGATCTTGGCTTCTGAAATCTACCCCCCAGCCATACTGAGGTATCTCAGACTTGTGGAAAGAGGGTGTCATCCAAAAAATGATTCCACCTGGACCTCAGAACTAGTGCTGGGTCCCCTGCGCACACCAGCAAGGATAGGTAGGTCAAATGCCCACAGCTGGCTGAGTGGACACTGCCTTGGAGCAGTTAAGTGGGCAGCTTTGTCTCTGTGGTCGACTAATGCAACTCCCCCCCCCCCGGAGCCCTTTTCACCCTAGGGGGGCTGCTGACCTGCCATCCCTAGATAGAAGCTGCCTTGACAAGTAAAGAGAATGTGCTAGTGACAGTGGACTGCTCTGTGGGAAAGCTGGGACACCTGGGCACCTGGAGTCAGAGGGTAGAGCCACCTCGTTCAGAGACTAGTGAGACAAGAGACATTTGTGAGGCCAGGACACTGCAACAGGGAAAAGTGAGAGACGTCCCTCCATCACCCAACTCTTCTAAATCAGAGCAAAACCCCAGGCTACCTGCTATATCCATTTCTGGAATGATTGGAGAGATCACCACCCTTCACAGTTGTATATTCAGATCAGGTTATTTCAAACCAAGAAATCAAACACAACCAACCTTGGAGGAGGTACTGGCTGGGGTTTATTTCATTGCTTTGTCCCCTGTCCTTTCTTAAAGACTCTGGATGGTCCTGTCATGCCTCCCCGTTTTGGCATACAAAAACTGATGACTTTCTAGGGCCACCACTTGAGGACTAAGAGGTTCTCAAATGGCATCAGCAGGGTCAGAACCTATGCTATCTGCCTGGTCCTTACCTCCAGACTCCACTACCCATGGGTCAGGAGGCAGGAGGGGATGACAGACTTGTGACGAGGAGACCGGAGGGCCCAGAGTCCAAGCCCATGGAACAGCACCAAAGAGAAGCACTATGTGGAGAGATTGCTTTATTTTCTGATAATGATATCGTGGCTGGAATGGCTTAAGATGTATATATTTTTTAACCGGCAGCCCTTCGTGCCGCCTCACCTTCCTGTATGTAATTCTTGTATGTGTTCTCCCACAGCCCCCATGTAAATCACATGCCCTGGGGTTCTCCCATCCAGTCCCATGTATCTGGAATCTAATAAATAGGGAAAGGTGTGTTGAGTTTTTCATGCATTGTCTGTTGGAGTACACCGCTGTCTGAACAACATCACCCTTAGGACTCACGTTGGTACCTGGAGAATCCAGTGAAGAAGCACAAAGCACCTGTGCCTAGGAAGCCTGGGGGTACAGGTTATGTGGATATTGTAAATGTGAGCAGTGCTTTGCCTAGCGTGCAAGAGGCTCTGGGTTCAGTCCCTAGCATTGCAAGACAAAAATAAGTGCGATCAGCCACGGTCAGGCATACAATTTGAGACCTCTGATTTGGGTCATAGGAGCCCTGCTACTGCTCTCTACCAGGCACTCCCTTTCGTGGGTGCTGGAGAGATGTGGTATCCGCCACATATGAAGCCTGTGTTGCTTCAAGTCACCATGGTTCCTGGTGTCTTGTTCAAAGAACTGAAGTACCTCCAAGTTGCAGTCACAAGGAACTTTATCCAGAAGCTAAGTGACAGTACACAGCAGACATACTGCTTTCCAGCAGGCTCCTAGAGTCCTCACAGGCCCCTGGTTACTGCTCGGGACCTCCTTTTACAGGCAGGAGGAAATGGTTGCTAAGGGACATGAGGTGTGTGGTTCTCTGTTTTCAATGACAGACTTGGGTTATTTAAGACTCTTCACTGCTCAAATACCCATGATGCATCTGGTTTTAATATGCATGCACAACCTATACATAGAGATTACAAGGTAAATAGGGTATATGCACTCGGCCAGATCAGCGTATATTGGTGCTCAGCCTCTATTTTCCAGATACATCTTGGGACATGTTTGAGTAGAAACTGACCATAAAAGAGGAGTCACTAAGGGGTTGCTAAGGAAGGAACAACTTATTCCATTGTTTGAAGTGGGGTATATCTGCAGCTTGATGCTAAGGTCCATTGTTGGAAGCGAGTATGGATAGCTGAAGCCACGCAGAGTCCCAGGCTGCTGTGCTTGCCTGCCAAGGAGAACCTGGAAGGATTGTAACAGGATGCCTTTTGTTACAAGTAAAAGACATCCCATCTTAATTGGCTTATGGGGAATTATTCTTCTAGAGGGAGGGTGTGTGTGTGTGTGTGTGTGTGTGTGTGTGTGTGTCTGTGTGTGTGTGTGTGCGCGTGCACGTGCACGTGCACACCAGAAGTAGGAGGGACAGAGCATCAGACTGGGTTTGATCCAGAGTTGTAAAGTCAATATAATTCTGGTTCAACTTTTTAAAACACAGTAAAGGGGCTGGAGAGGTGGCTCAGAAGTTAAGAGTACAGACTGCTCTTCCAGAGGACCCAGGTTCAACTCTGAGCACCCATCTGGAAGCTCACAACTATCTGTAACTCCCAATTTCAGGGAACTCCAGTTAGATTGGCTCCCATGTTACAGTGGTTGTTCCAGGATAGCCTCCAGAGCTACAGAGAAACACTGTCTCGAAAAACACACACATATATATATCTAATAAACCTTTTTAGATTGGCTCACATGATACAGTGGCTGTCACCAGAACCCGAGAACACTGGAGATTTGCAGACCACAGGCTGGGTACCTCATCAGTACCACCCTGGCGGAAGATCCTGGGGAGTGGCTCAGCTTTTCTGACTCAATCCTGTTCTGTCTGCTTTGTCTTTAACCTCTTTCATGATAGCAAGAGGCTGCCAGTTTTTATTTCATATCCTGGGACGGGGTGGGTAGAGTCTCATTGCAAAAGTGGAAAGTGTCTGGGCCTCATCCTGAATCCCAGTGTTTTGAGGGCTCTTCCTTGAGGAATCACTAGCCATTTAGGGGTGAGTGGATCCCACTCAGTAGCAGGCTTCTAAGCAAATGGAAAGGAATAGATTGAAGACCCAGATGAGCAGACCACAAACCCGGCATCTGTGGATAGCTCAGAGCCTGGCCAGCCTTCAGTGAACTATGAAAGCCACCACCAGGGTTTCAGTCTATCCTCTAATGTCAGCACAATGGAATAACACGCACAAGGAATATCCATGCTGCTTCCGGGGGTGGGGTGGGGTGGGGTGGGGAGAGGAGGGAGACGAATCAGGATGAGCTGGAAGAAGGGGCTGGCATCTGTTGAGGTGGGGAAGACTTGACAGAAGTTCAGGGCCAGGTAGGGAGAATCCATGAGAAGTTTAAGATGTTATTGTTTGTCTAGGGAGACACCAT